TGTAGTCCCAGCCTAGACATTAAAACTGGCTGGGAGACCTTTGAACCAATCACCAGGAGACCATGAGTTCTAGTCCTGCCCTAGGCATGAAAGCCAGCTGGGTGACTGAGCCAATCCCCAGGAGACCGTGAGTTCTAGTCCTGCCTTAGGCATGAAAGCCAGAGTAGTGACTTTGAGGCCATCACCAGGAGACAGGGAGTTCTAGTTCCATCTTAGGAACAAAAAGTGGCTGGGTGAGTTTGGGCTAATCACCAGGAGACGGTGAGTTCTAGTCCTGCTTTAGGTATGAAAATTGGCTGTGTGACTTTGGGCCATTCACCAGGAGACGGTGAGTTGTAGTCCCAGCCTAGACATTAAAACTGCTGGGAGACCTTTGAGCCAATCACCAGGAGACGGTGAGTTCTAGTCCTGCCTTGGGCCAATTGAGTGACTTTGGCCTATTCACCAGGCGATAGGGAGTTCTAGTCCTGCTTTAGGTAGGCAAATTGGCTGGGTGACTTTGGCCTGTTCCCCAGGAGGCCGTGAGTTCTAGTTCCACCTTAGCCACGAATGCTGGCTGGGTGACTTTGGCTGGAGAATTCTGGGAGTTGAAATCCACACGACTTCAAGCGGCCAAGATGGAGAAGCCCCTGGTCCTCAAAGGGGCCGATGGGTAAGAGAAGGAGGGTGTTGGGGTGTGTTAGAAGGGACGCCTTGGTGCTACGCGTCCCTCTTGGTTACTGGCACAAAGGCTGCATTGTGCAGGCGGCTTTTGAATGGCCCCATTGACGTTTCCAGGGAGGTGATCTGGGTTGACAAGTATTTGGCGCGGCTGAGGTGGGCCCCGGGGGGGCAGGGTGGGGGGGCTCACATAGCAGAGACCCTTGCCAGCTCTCTCTCTCTCTCTCTCACACACACACACACACACACACACACACACACACACACTAAAAGACACAGGCCGCCCAGATTCGCGGCATCTCTGCCATGAGAGTCCCGGGTTCATTTCTTACACAATCCTACGCTGCACTAACGGAGAGGTGGAATCAAGAGTAGGTGAAGTGTTAAATGCCACTTTTATAAATAGCAATTATGTAGTGCCCCATGGTGCTTTGCCGTGCTCTCCGGGCGGTTTGGCAATGCCAGACTGAGAAGAAACAACAAAGAGGATTAGGGGATTAAAAAAGGGTTGCAGGAAGCGGGCAGGTCTAGTAGTAGAATGGAAAGGAGGAGTAGCGGGGACATGAGAGCGGTCTCCCAGGATTTGAGGGGCTGCCCCAGAGAGGAGGAAGGGGGTCCATTTGTTTTCCAAAGCACCAGAAGGCAAAACAAGAAGCAACGGATGGAAACGAACCAAGGAATTTAGGAGAAATTTCCTAACATTAAAATCAATTCACCAGTGGAACTCCTTGCCACCAGAAGTTGTAGGTGCTTCGTCACTGGAGGTTTTTAAGAAGAGTTTGGACAGCCACCCGTCTGAAATGATTCGAGGGTCTCCTGCTTGAATAGGGGGTTGGACTAGAAGACCTCCAAGGTCCCTTCCAATTGTGGTTGACTCTTAATTATACTTTTCACGGTCAACCCCTGTATCCCAGCGTCTCTTCCTGTACCGGGGAGGGTCTGAGATTCGGCGTACAGGTAGAGGTTGCAAAATGAGTTTGGCTTCAGGGCCACGTTTGTGCTATTGTGCAAGGGGCATGTGCAAAGTGCAAAGCCGGACCTGGAAAGCCGGAATGGAGTAGGTAGAGGTTGATTTAACCCAGCCGAGAACGCTGTCGGATCCAAAGCTGCCGTGATTGGAATCACTTCGGTATCTAATGCAGTGTTTCTCAAGGTTGGCCCCTTTAAGGGAGGGGCTGGGGGTGGATTTCAGCTCCCAGAATTCCCCAGCCAGCTCCGCTTATGGGAGTTGGAATTATTGAATTCTGGGAGTTGAAATCCCCCCCCCTTAAAGCGGTCGAAGGAAACACTGAGCTAACCAGGTTGGATGGGCGCGACCCTTCCCGAATTCAGCCTTTCTTTTCTTGCACAGGTGAGCCCAGTGACCTCTTGGGGCTGAGCGAGGGCAGAAGAACTACTCCGTAGCCCATCCTCCTGACCCAAACCTGCTCGTCTTCCGAGCCACCTCAACGTCCCGGGAGAGATCACGTGCCGTCCTTTTGAAAGGGTTTTTTTTTTTTAAAAAAAAAGAAGAGGATCGGCCAGACGTTTGTTCCGGAATGGCGTAAGGCCGCCTGCTCAAGCACAGGGGGTTAGACTAGAAGACCTCCAAGGTCTCCTTTCCCCCCAAACTCTCCTTCCCGTCATTTCTGGATGGCTTGAGAGGTTTGGCCGCCAAGGAGGCCTCCTCCCTTGTGGGCACGCCGGGGGGGACGCCGTACCTGCCGGGAAAGGACCCACCTGGAGCCCCGTGACCCAGTATGGGCCTCTCCACGGGGGCCGTGATTGCTATCACCTTCAACTGTGTCATCGCCTTCCTCATCCTGGCCCTGTTGCTCATCCTTTGCAAGGCCTGCCGGACTCCATCCTGCCCCGACCAGAGTCCGCCTTCCGAGTCCGACGAGAGGGGCAACGAAGAGAGGTACCTCCTGCAGCCTTGACCCGACGGTGCTGGTTCGGACCGAGGCTTCCTTAAGAAGAAAGCAAGGAACACCCCCCCCAAGCTCAGGGATCCCCGAGGACCCCAGAATTCGTCCATGAGCTACAAATATTCCCTTTGGTTTCAGCTTTGACCTGATATGTAACTTTGACTTGCTTTGCACCTTAAAACCTACGTGGAACTTCATTGTGGCCCCTGTCTGGATTTTTTGGGGACCGTGTCCTACACACCGCCTGTCTTTGGTTCCGATCCAGGCTTCCTTAGAAAGCGGAAAACGCAATCTTAGTTCCCGGCAAAACCTCTTTGATTTCCCACAGCTGTGAATTGCGTTCATTCCCAGCCTGCAAGGCTTCGTATTCAGCGGAGCGTTTACTCACTCGATCGCACTTGGAATGCGGCCCGAGAACGAATGGCCGAATGCAGGGCAAGGCCAAACTTGACACCGAGTCAAACAGAAGCTTTTCAGAGCTTGAATCGACCAGACGAACTAATTGCTTCCTGCAAAAGCTCACATCCCGTTCGCTCCTCTTGTATGTCCTATGGGAGGGGCCAATCATCTCCCAGGTGTGGCCTTACTCCTGAGTCAGACCTGCTTTCTCAATGGTTCTTGTCTTCTGCTAGCTCTGCGCATGTGCAGGCTGGGAACCGGCTCCAGCTACTCCTCCTCCTCGCTGCTGTCTGAGCCCGAAGGCAGCTGATGACGGCCAGCCTGCCCTGGCCCCATCTCTGCCTCTGATGCAGAGCCTTCCTCCGCCTCCAAGACTGGCCCTGGTTCCTCCCCAACCTCCTCACTACCGTCCGACTCTGCTGCCAGCTCCGTCGGCTGCCGGCGGGCCACAACAAGTGCCACCTCGTCTGGCGGACCAGCAGGGTCTCGGTGCCATGGGCGACGGAGGGGAGACTCAGGAACAGAGAGGAGGTCCAACCAGGTGGAAAAGCCACCCGGAGCTAATCTGCTGGCCTTCAAGGATTCACAGCCATGGGGACTCCCGGTGGGTCTTCTCGGGACGGAGGCCAGCCCCGCTGTGCAGGAGGAGCAGCTCCGAGTCCTTCCTCTGATGCCGGCCTCGGGTGGTTCTGGAGGCCCCCAAGAGGTTCTCCTCTTCTCCTTCCAGCTGGCAGAGAGAGAGAGGCGGGGGGGGAGAGGCCTGAAGGCAGCCAGTGCCGGGAGGAGAGGGGAACGGGTCCAAGGATGGGAGAACGGACAACTCGGGCGCAGGAGTCGCGAGTCGGGGATGTGGGGGAAAGAGGCGTAGGGAGAAGACAGCTCACCGAGTTGCCCCCGGGGGGGGAGGATAGGGCTAATTCCTGACCCCCACCTCTTCCTTCGATGTGGCTTTGCCTCATGGGTGGGGGGGTAAGCCAAGTTGGGGTCCAGGGCTAACTACCTCAAAGCGGATGGACGATCGGGACAGTTTGGGAAGAGATGGGAAAGGGGATGGAAGCCGGAGGGGCCAGACCGAGGCCGGGCAGCTGGGGTCCCTTCTGTCCCCTGGCCCCCTCCTCCCATCGGGCGGGGAGGGCTCCCAAGAAGCAGACCCGTTCAGCAGGCTGAAAGGAAGGGGAAGGAGTTTTTTGGGGGGGTCCTTGGTTCCGTCGGAGCGGGATGGTTTCCTTGCAGACGTTTCACGGGCCAACTAGGTAACAGCCTCCGTGCTAGAAGAGTGTGGAGTTTGTGGAGAGGAAGAGGAGGAGGACGAAGACTCTGGGGTCCTTGGTGCTCTCGGAGCTTGAGGGTTTCCTTGCAGACGTTTCACGACCCAACTAGGTAACATCACTGCTAGAAGAGTGTGGAGGAGGAGGATGTGGAGGGGGTCCTTGGAGCTCTCTAAGCTTGGTGGTTTTCTTGCAGACCTTACATGACCCAACTAAGTAACATCATCAGTGTAGGAGAGTGTGGAGGAGGAGGAGGAAGAGGACTGTGGGGTCCATAGTGCTCTTTGAGGTGGGTTGTTGTCTTGCA